CCTATACCACATTGCCCGGGACGCACTTAGCCGGACCATAATTAAGAAACGCAATACGCTACACACAGTAAATGTAACCGAATTTGGCATAGAGAATATCTTGTATAGCCTAGCCTATTCAATTACTAAGACAAACAAAAACATTGGATGTCAACGAACTTAGCTTATTAGAATATACTGTGGTATTTTTTGATGCGCCTTAATTTATCTACGAGTATCTTTCTCGTCGAACCCGTCGCTTGCGACGAAGGGCTCGGTGAGTAAATTAACCCACAGACACGGCCCACAGAGTTTCTCGCCGGATCTTCTCAGTGGGTCGCGCTTCCGATCCAGTGGTAGATTCTGCGAAGCACTGCTCTTGCTAGGGTTAGTGTTATCAACGGCATCAGGTTAGAGCCCCGTGAGCTCACCTACTAGTTAAGGTTACACTAAAATGATTTCTCAAGACCATCAGCTTAGGTAGCTTAGCAAGTCACACACGGTAGAAGTGAAACTTATAAGAAAGAATTATCGCAAGGGTCAACCACCAACCACTCCACAGTGCAATGGAGCAGCCTCACCCTGGGGGAACAGCCTGCATGATCACGGTATCTCTACGCCAGGTAAGTATGATTTAGCAAGAGAAATACGAAAACCTCTATCAACTGTGTAACATCTCGACATCGCGATTCAGGAATTGTTGAATTTACGTGCAGCGACATCTGTTGATAACAAACTAAACAGAAATAATTGTAAATCATCTTTTATAGTATGAGGTAGCGCCCTCTGTGAATTGATATTTTAACTTAACGTTTCATTTTTTCGTTTCATCGATTTTGAAATCACATCACAACGATTCTAAAGAAGTTTCACTTCAATAAATAAAACAGTATCGAAGTAAAGGAATCTTTCAAAGTGATTTTCGAAAACTTCGAGAAGTCTGATCAACTTGAAAATTTACACTTGTATCAAAGACCGGTAACGGTGGAATTTTTTTTTAGTAATAATGGCTCTTCTTAATATTCTTAGCAGGCTCACCAGTAAAAATTGAGCATTTAATTTTTTTGTTCGTTTCTTATCTTAACGTAGGTATTTATTTTTAATTTTTAAACTATAACTCTATTGCGCACCAAAACACAGCATTGAAAAACAGTCATTTTATTTATTATTTACTTACTAAGTTTATAATCATATTATATTTACTAGTTGTATTACAGTGCACGTGCAAATAAAGAAATATTTCTGTTTCCACATTAGATTTTTCGCCTGTATATACGAAACAAAACTCAGATTCCAAATAACAAAAACTTTAATAGATATATTGACTCCGATCGCTAATACCTATAGCTGTTTCTCCGTAATACATAAGTCGATGGAGCGATACGAACTCACGAGCCAACCAATATTCAGTCACTCCTGGAGCCTATGGACATCAACAATATAAATGCCACCACCCATCTTGATACATGAGTTCAAGTCTCCGTTTTACAGATAATTTAGCGGATTTGATTTTTATTACACGATGTTATTCCTTCACCGTGGAAGTCAATCGTAAACATTTTTTTCCTTCTTTCCTCAACATACAAGAGATATCTTTAATATATTCGCATTAAAAACAGCAATGCGTGCTCGAAATCTTCAATATTCTATACAAAGATTACGAAGTTTCCTACACTGCTTTACATAATGCGCCCATTATTACAAACGGAGGCCCGAAATCATCGACACTAAAAGCGTAATAAAAATTATATTTATTTTAACGAAGTTATAATGATAGTCAAATGGTCCTGTGAATTTGCTCCAAATATTCCTTTCAATGTTTTGTTTGGTGTAAATACTTTTGATGGTTTTTTGGGTATGCGAGGCTGGCGTATCACATTAGCGTTCTGTATTGTGAGTACGCGTCGGCATTCGTTTTTCTATTTAGCCCACCTGGTGTTAAGTGGTTACTGGAGCCCATAGACATCTACAACGTAAATGCGCCACCCACCTTGAGATATAAGTTCTAAGGCCTCAAGTATAGTTACAACGGCTGCCCTGCCCTTCAAACCGAAACGCATTACTGCTTCACGGCATAAATAGGCACGGTGGTGGTACCTACCCGCGATATTCGAAGAGTGATACAGCCGCTATGAAATACAAATAGCATAAGTTCTGTTCTCATTGGTACGTACATTTCTTCTGTAATTCAGATCTGTAATCAATCTCGGTATCAGGCGCATAGGTTCCTGTCGTTTTTAGTGTATAAGAGTAGACAATGTCACTGTCAACGCGAATGCCCTAACACTTGAGACTTGATTTCGACGGACGTTGTCAGTGGACCGCTATTCCGATCTGGTGGTAGATTCTGCGAAGCACTGCTCTTGCTAGAGCTAGTGTTTTATTCTTATTTTTTATTGCTTCGATGGGTGGACGAGCTTACAGCCCACCTGTTGTTAAGTAGTTACCGGAGCCCATAGACATTTAAAACGTAAATGCCACCACTCACTTTGAGATATGAGTTCTAAAGTCTCAATATAATTACAACGGCTGCTCCACCCTTCAAACTGAAACGCATTACTGCTTCACGGCAGAAATAGGCACGGTGGTGGTACCTACCCGTGCAGAGTCACAAGAGGTCCTACCACCGGTAAATATCACACAGTATCTATAGCCACGCCTTCAACTAATCAATAACTCGATTTGTTTTCAATAAAATCCGTTTGTTCTCCTAGTGGTATCGCGCGTGACCTCCCGCCCACACTACAACATTCAAATTCCCGCACAACAGGGAATTTCGTAATTAACATTAATTGTGTTTGTGCCAACAGAATCGGCCGTATTCCGAATCGCAATGACGTTACGGTAGCGCTGTCATGGGCGCGGCTCTGATCCTGCCATTGTGGGAAAACATTTAACAGAACAAATAAAACTTTTTATTTAGTTGCTGGAATGAGTTGGTGGTAGGACCTCTTGTGAGTCTGCGCGGGTAGATACCACCACCTTGCCTATTTCTGCCGTGAAGCAGTAATGCGTTTCGGTTTGAAGGGCGGGGCAGCCGTTGTAACTATACTTGAGACCTTAGAACTTATATCTCAATGTGGGTGGCGTATTTACGTCATAGATATCTATGGCCTCCGGTAACCACTTAACACCAGGTGGGCTGTGAGCTCGTCCAACTATCTAAGCAATAAAAAAGCAACGGATGCTTTTAAAGATATAGCAGAGTCTCAATAGTTATATATATATCAGATCTACGTTGTAACCGACTTTAAAAATGGAGGAGGCTATCAATTCGAATGTATTCTTTATCTGTGTAGCTTCAGAACTTTTTTCTGGGTGAGGACCGATTTTGGTAATTCTTTTTTATTTGAAAGTTGATGTTTCTCAAACAGTCCCATTTTATTTTTATCAAGATCTGACTTTTTATTGTTGAGTTATCCTCAATAATGCACATTTAATTCAATTCGATTACATTTGATGATGGCCTTATTTTAGTATTTGTTGAAATCGGTTTTCTTTGTTGTATTAGGTATGCAAAATCAATTTTACATCGATTCGTATGAGATTTTTATTTATCTTTAAGATTCAATCTGTTGACCTTTTTTTGATGGTTTTTAATAGGAAACTCACAGACTGGGTATTGAACCCAAAGCCTATTGTGCAGCATTGACGGTCAAATAAAAGTGCAGAAGTGCGTATGTATGTTAAATTTGTTCAGTATCCTGACCCCAATATTTTGTGTATATTCAGTTGCTTAAACATCACTTGAAAATAATATCAAACTTAATTTATAAAACTTAATTAACTTTATAGATCTTAGGATTTTAGGTTAGAAAATCAGGTGCTGCGGTATCCCAGACGTACAGCAAAATCAGGAAAAGTCACATAAAAATTATGAAATGGTTAAGAAAACATAAAGTTATTTGTTTAGCGATTTGAAAGCAAAAATAACTAAACTTCTCATTAACTTAAAGGAATTAATGTAAAATTCCTTTAAACAATTTCATTTGCCGCATTAAAGACAAGACAATATTAAATTTGCACTGTTCTTCTTCGAAGCGCTTTAAGGTTAATTGCGCCGCAAAATATTTTCCAAAGATAAAAAAGGACCGTGGTGAAAAAAGTTTGAGAGCCAATGCTCTAAGGCTATTTAGTCTATGCGGTAAAGATTTATGGATTTTATCTGTGTGCCTTGTATGTGTTTACTCGTTTAAAAACATTTTCCAGTTCCATAGTCTAAGTTTTATTTTTGTAAATTCTTGCATTGTTTTCTTAAATAATTTTCTAATAGTACAAGTACCATTTCGACCCCTATTATTATATACCACAAAGTTCACATGTTATACAAAGTTTCAGTTGACATTTTGGCGCGACGTAAAATCCTTTGGGATTATGGTTTAAGATTAATGTTCGTTTACTTATTGGGCTTACACCAGACCTTGGGAGGGCTTGTCTCAAATAACATGATAAATATATAGTGGTAGATGTGTTTGGAAGATAAACTTTGCAAAATAAATACTGTTACTTACTATTTATTGTTGTTCGATTCCTTGAAAGCATTATTAATAGGTCAGCTTTTATTACTTACATTCGATTAATAATTTAAAACTTAATTTTGGTTGTCTTAACTATTATTTTAAAACTAGAATTGAAAGAAAAATATTATGTTGACCCTTAAAAAATATATTCGAAAAGTTAAGAATCAAAAAAGTTCTTATATAACATGTTTACAAAAACGCTACGATTCGATATTGTTTTGTTTTATTAGCCAACAGTGAACGACCGTCAGATTGGTAGTAAAATTTTGTGGCGACCCGCCACGTATATTAGCTTTTGACATTTCAAACCGCATTTTTAAATAAGGTTCAATGCTATTTAGGTTGCACATTAAAAAATCGTTTGCTGGTACCCAATAAAGAAAAAAGTTTCGAAACGTCACTCGTTTAGGTTGCACAATAAAAATCCTTTGCTTTGCCAAATTAAAAAAAGTTTCGATACATACGTATAACATTTTAAATGTTTTTAAATACAAAACTCACCTGTATTAATACTTTGACAGCGTCACACGAAACATAAGCCTTAGAAATAATATAATCTCAAAACTAAACACAACACACGGGGTACGGAAAAATGGCAACTTTAAAAATACGAAGAACGCTAATTATAAGAATGTTATTTTGATATAACGATCGCGTGCTATTTTCGCGTAATCAATTATTTTCGTTTTCATATTATTATTTTTCGCGTTTCGTTTGAGCACCGAGATCGTCGCGTGTTTTCCCGGGAAAACCTCACGGCAGACTCACGGAGGGGTACGAATCCTCTACGCTCGAATATACTACGTTTCATAGATTATAAGGGATGAATTCGGTAGATGCGTTTTATTGGAACGAAGTTCCTTACGGCAGGTTTGGAGGAGATAGGGATTTTGCTGCGCGACCGAACTGAAAAAAATGTGATAGTAAAAACCGTAAGAAAAAGTCCGTGGAATAAGGCCTTGTTTTCCGAACAGCGATATTTCACCGCGCGATTTTTTTTCTCGTAATTCTTTTTTTTTTTTATTATTGAACTTCGTTCCTATCCGTTGTCCCACGACACTACACATCTTTTTTATGTTTTAGATTGTGCTATTTAACAATTAGTTACATATTCACAAAAAATACATTGCATAACAGCTCAAAGCCATTATTTTCCATAATCTGACAAAGATTATAAATACAATTAAACAACTAGTAATTCAAACTAGAAACACGAAAGTTTTGCAAAACAGTTTGGTAGAGTGTTGGTGCCTAAATGCGTAGCAAGCTAACAATACGGCCTATCATCATTACATACGTTACCATACGTGAGCACTCGTGAAAATGCAAACACTCATACGCGGTGAGCACCAGTGCCTATCTGAGGGGAGTGCACATAAACAATGGTCGAATGGAAACGAGCAGCGTGATGTCACTCATGTTTTTTTAAATTGGCTTTATAGGTAAGTGGTTACCATCACCGATGGACTGCATTCCAGGGGCAGAGCCAAGCCGTTGTCTACCGTTAAGTACTCTGCAATAATGCTGTGCGAAAGCACGGAGCGGGCTGCCAAGCAGTCTCTCATAAATGATCTGATAAATAACGCGGGTGGCATGTCGCTTCTGCTACTACTGGTGGTAAGGCGGTCTATGAGCCCCCACGGATAGGTACCACCACTTAGGATTCACGTCTCAAATTGGGTGGCGGCATTTACGTCATTGATGTCTATGAGCTCCGGTAACCATTTAACATTTTAATAAATAAAATAATATTCTGTTTGTTGAACTCCGGTTCACCTGATTTACACTATTTTACACATAGGTATAGTGTTTAGTCTCCAATCTACCCTCGATTAGTGGTACACATTATACGATAATTTATGAATGTGTCCCATCTCAGAAAAACGATTCTATGACGTTTTCCACATTGATAGAGCGAGACGACGTCATTAGATTTTGTGTACGTGTGAAACGCTCGAACATATCGACGACTCGGTCGGCATTTGACCAAGTTTCTTTAGTTCGAATAATGTATGAGATACCGCAGCCTAGGTAACAGACGAACGGATTATTTAATAATCACCTTATTATCGATTTCATAACGTTGCTATAAAAAAATATTAAATAATTTTCTATAATTGCTCATAAATCCCTAAAGTCCTGAAAGTCCTGGTAGCTAGCTGTATAGATTCTCTCGCATTAAATAAAACGTCTTTACCCATTTTCTTTTTTCATGACTAGTCATTTTTGAAACGTATACTACCTATGTATGGCTAGCAATAATACTAAATTCAGTAGTTTTATTTTAATAATATATTGTTATATTTTCAAATTCAGTATTTTTTTATTGATTAGTGTTTTATTTTCATTACATATTTTGTATGGTTTTTCAGCAATATGAACACGATAAAAATGCTCCTGGAATATGAGTTCCGTCGCAGTAGCAATGCCGCACAAACGCCTCACAATTTCACACGTCATTACGGATCCTCCCGATCCATTAACGGTGCTTTTAGGTACCACACGCACCGGTCACCGTCCTCGTCGAACCCGTCGCTTGCAACGAAGGGCTCGACGAGCGAATTAACCCAGAGACCGCCCACCGAGTTTCTTGCCGGATCTTCTCAGTGGGTCGCGTTTCCGATCCGGTGGTAGATTCTGAGAAGCACTGCTCTTGCTAGGGCCAGTGTTAGCAGCACTTCCGGTTTGAGCCCCGTGAGCTCATCTACATGTTAGGGCGAAGCTGAAATAGCCTCTCAAGGCTATCATGCATAGGCAGGGAATAAACAATTTTAATGACGTTGTAGTACGGAGTGAATACGTATTTTCTTAGGAAGGAAGGATGTGTGGTGTCCCAAAGACTTTTCCAGCTTTACCAGGACCGGTGGGTAGAGTAAAGGCTCAGTCAAAGAGTGAATACTGCAAACAAACACATGACTAGTCATTACTTTGAAAACTTCCGACATTGAAATTGTGATTAAAAAATAATTAATCCCATGGTTGCCCGAAAACTAAAGTCAATAACAAAACCTATTTCGATTGTTTGTTTGTTGCGGTTTCGCGTCTGATCGTGAAATTTTTCATACGAGTTGTCAGATATCAGGGTAGATCAAGCATTTAATGTCGTTTAATGGCCTAAAGAATAAGACACCCGATTCATTCGTATCAATTTAGTTGTTGTCTGTTGTTGCTGTTCTGTTGTCTGTTTCAAACTTCGTTTTGAAAATCCTAGTCGTTGGTGGTCAGGAAATACCATGGAGTACATTTCAAAGCCGGAAGATGAAGCAAGAATGATGTTGCATCGTAGAAGAATTTCGTAGCCAAAGGCGCAAAATCTTTGATGGTGCTAGTGCGATGATAAAAAGGAGACAACGGATTCGTCTCAATAAGTTCTATATATGTAATATTTATGCTCTTTTTCTTCACGAAAAAGATTAATTTTTCATGTCATATTTATTTAGTTATAATCACGAAGGACCCAATTTACATGGCAATTTACAAAGAATTCATTGTTAATATCAGCAAGTACTTAACGAATTGTTTGAATTTCATTAGCGTAACGTGCACGATTCATAAATAACTAATTACATTTACAATTAAAAAGTAATACACTATGTCCACAACATGGAAAAGTTTCGTTCGAACAGGCTCTGGGAGATTATTTTTTCACTGTGAGTTTTACGTAGGAATGTTTATTCGGGGTATTTAGAGCGAGTTTACTTTTTTCAAATTATTCAACTTTTCGTGCAGTCCACGATTCTCGCTTCGTCGAATGTTAAGTATTGTAACTAAAAAGAGTATTTGTTCTGAATAGGCAGACTAGTACACGACGGACCTGTTACAGAGGATTTAAAACTGTAACAGATTAAGCCCATAAATATTACCTACCATCTGAATATCGGTACTTTAATATATATATTACTGGTGGTAGGACCTCTTGTGAGACCGCGCGGGAAGGTTCCACCACCCCGCCTATTTCTGCCGTGAAGCAGTAATGCGCTTCAGTTTGAAGCGTGGGCCAGCCGTTGTAACTATACTTGAGACTAGAGCTTATATCTCAAGGTGGGTGGCACATTTACGTTGTAGATGTCTATGGGCTCCAGTAACCACTTAACACCAGGTGGGCTGGGAGCTCGTCCACCCATCTAAGCAATAAATATATATATTGTCGAACTTCAATACGTTTACAGGACCATATTGGCTGTCAGGAAGACACTAATGTTTTGCGGAAAACTGATTTAGATAATGATATGTCCCAGTTCAGGCACACAACACGCCCAATAACTAAATAGGCAAATTTATAAACTTTCAGGCGGAAGACCTTTGCTTAACATCAACACCTACTGACCTGAAGACAATGATATATTTTTCTTTACAGCATCAATTTATATGCTAGCGTTCGTGTATTTATTTAGTGAAACTTCCGGAAATGACGAAAGTAAACCTACTCTTAAGCACTCGAATTGGACGTTCAAAGATTACCTAAATAAATATGACCCTCGGAAAGTGTGGGAAAAGATAGACAAGCTAAAGAAATCAGGTGAGAATTCGTACGGGTTTGATGGGGTTTTTATTGCCCTTGTAAAAAGAAGAGCAAAAGGCCTACCTGATGGTGAGTGATTACCGTCGACCAACAATGCAAGCGGAAAATCGCTACCCACAGCTGAGTAATCTCCACAAGCTTCGCTTGAAGAAGGAAGGGTCATAGCACTCGGGAAACACCGCGGAGCGGAGATCATTTCAAAGCCGGATGGTACGTCACAAAAAAGATATCTGGAAATACACTGTGGATGAACGCGGCTGTTTCTGGGAGAATGAGTGAACTCTGCTCCGATAGCGGAGTCGGTATTGTGCTTTGTAAAGCAAATGCTTTTGACCATCGTGATGTGCCGCTTTGCTCTGTTCAGGACTCCCAGGCATTTTTGACATTTTTAATTGAACGAAAATAATGAATATTTAACATGTTTTATTTTAACCTTTTTTATTTTAAATTGGACAAAAAGGCCCCAAATCAAGCCACTCAAGGCTTTATTCGGAGCCAAAGACAACGTCGAAATAGAGCAATAAAAAAAAAAAAAAAAAAAAAAATCTCAGTTGCATAACAGGGTCTCGTATTAAACACGATGGTTTCCCGACATTAATAGAAATTACGTAATCTTTATAACAAACATTGAATCCAAAGGAACAAAACTTACGCAGCAACAAGAAATCGACCTCTTCATCAAAGGTATAGACATGACAGACGATTTCTTAAAACTGAAAGTGAAGAACGGAGACGCAAAGGTAATCAATCACAACGGCTCGTCACAATACTAAAGATGTTTTTATTATTTTTATGAAGGAAGGAAGGTGGCTCGAAAGCCTTTCTAATTTCACCAGGAGGGATGGTATTTGCTAACAGCTGACCGAGTTCCTCTGAAGGAGACCTAACCGCTCAAGGGCAGCTGCTCTGCGAATGCATCTCCTCCTCACCCTTCCATCGATCGCTCATTGGTGAGCATCGTGATGCGTCCACCTTTTTTGTGATTTGTAGCCACTTATGTCGGTCAGTGGCACAGTGAAGTGCGTGGCCCAGTCTCGTGTCCAGATGCTCGGACACTTGGTAACTCCATCTTTTTTGGCTTCGACCTCTGGATCATCTTCCAGCCACTTTACCCATCACTGTGTGTCTCTAATCTATGAATTCATCTAGACAATACTAAAACTCTATCCAGTAAAATGATCATGTTTCCGAAAATATGTAAAAAAGACTTCGGTTACT